AACCCTAAGGCTACACCTAAACCTACCCCTAAACCTGACTGCACCCCCGAACCGTAAAGCTACACCTAAACCTACCCCTAAACCCAACTGTACCCGCGAACTCTAAGGCTACACCTAACCCCTAAAGCTACACCTACCCCTAAGCCCGACTGTACCCCCAAACCCTAAAGCTACACCTAAACCCACCCCTAAACCCGACTGTACCCCAAACCCTAATGCTACACCTAAACCTACCCCTAAGCCCGACTGTACCCCCGAACCCTAAAGCTACACCTAAACCTACCCCTAAACCCGACTGTACCCCCGGAACCCTAAAGCTACACCTATATCTAACCCTAAACCCGACTGTACCCCCGAACCCTAAAGCTACACCTAAACCTACCCCTAAACCCGACTGTAACCCCTAACCCTAATGCTACACCTAAACCTCCCCCTAAACCTGACTGTAAACCCTAACCCTAAATCTAACTTAAAGGCTAATGCTGACCGTAACCCTCTCTCTAGGCCTAGGTCCATGTTTAGGGTTAGAGTTAGGCTTAAGGTTTGGCCTAGGGTTTGGGTGATGGTTTTGGTTAGGGTTAGGTGCTGAGTTAGGGTTTGGATTGGCCTAGGGTTATGCGTAGGGTTAGGGTAATGGTTAGGGTTTAGGCTAGGTTTAGGTTTAGGGCCAGGCGTAGGGGTAGGATTAGGGTATGGGTTATTGATAAGGCTAGGCATAGTCCTTGTGGTAGGGGTAGGTGTGGGGTTTGGGCTAGGGTTTGGCTTACAGTTAGGTCTAGGGTTAGGGATAGGTGTAGATCTAGGGTTGATGGGGGTTTTTGGGGGGGTTGGTTTTGTGCTGTGAGGTGTGTCTGTAGTGTTATTTGGGTGGTTTTTTATGTATTTTTATTATTTTTAATAAAAATTATTTTATGTGCAATTCTATGATTGTCCACAGGGTGGCAGCAGTTCGATTCATTTTCAGTTGCAATTGCGGTTTTTTTTCGGCAGGTGGCGCTATTATAAATTTTTTTTTAAATGCAGTTCCTCTTTTCTGTCAGCAGGTGGCGCAGTTATCAATTTTTTTTAATGTAGTTCCTGTTTTCCGTCAGCAGGTGGCAGTATTTCATGAGAAATATACATGCAATTTCTTTTCTATGTCACCAGGTGGCAGTGTTGCTATGCCATTTTTTACTTATTAGATTTCTTTGTTTTATAACCGAATTTATTGGTGCAGTTTTATTGGAAAATTGGATAATTGGCTTGCAATTGCTGACTAGCTTGAAAATTTCCTTGTCTAATTACCTGAAAATTAAAAACAGGAGAAGAGCCTAAGAGAAATAAAATCAGGAGAAGAGTCTAAAAAAATTAAAAATAGGAGAAGAGCCTAAAAAAAATAAAATCAGGAGTAGAGCCTAAAAAAATTAAAATCAGGACAAGAGCCTAAAAGAAATAAACTCGGGAGAAGAGCCTAAGAGAATTAAAATCAGGAGAAGAGCCTAAGAAAATGAAAAACAGAAGAGCCTAAAAAAATGAAAAACAGGGTAAGAGCCTAAAAAAACTGAAATCAGAAGAGCCTAAAAAAATTAAAACCAGGACAAGAGCCTAAACAAATTAAAAACAGGAGAAGAGCCTAAGGAAATTTAAAACAGGAGAAGAGTCTAAAAGAATAAAAATCAGAAGAGCCTAAAGCAATTAAAATCAGGACAAGAGCCTAAGAGAATAAAAATCAGGAGAAGAGCCTAAAAAAATTAAAATTAGGAGAAGAGCCTAAAAAAATTAAAATTAGGAGAAGAGCCTAAAAAAATTAAAATCAGGAAAAGAGCCTAAAAAAATTAAAATCAGGAAAAGAGCCTAAAAAAATTGAAATCAGGAGCAGAGCCTAAAGAAATTGAAATCAGGAGAAGAGCCTAAGAGAAATAAAATCAGGAGAAGAGCCTAAAAAGACTAAAATCAGGAAAAGAGTCTAACAGAATTAAAATCAGGAGAAGAACCTAAAAAAATTATAAACAGGAGAAGAGCCTAGTAGAATTAAAAACAGGAGAACAGCCTAAAAAAAGTTAAAATCAGGAGAGGAACCTAAAAAAATTAAAATCAGGAGAGCCTAAAAGAAATAAAATCAGAAGAGCCTAAAAATATTAAAAACGGGAGAAGAGCCTAAGAGAATTAAAATCAGGAGAAGAGCCTAAAAAAATGAAAAACAGGAGAAGAGCCTAAAAAAATGAAAAACCGGGGAAGAGCCTAAGAGAAATTAAAATCAGGAGAGGACCCTAAAAGACTTAAAATCAGGAGAGGACCCTAAAAAACTTAAGATCAAGAGAAGAGCCTAAAAAAAATTAAAATCAGGAGAAGAGCCTAAAAAAAATTAAAATCAGGATAAGAGCCTAAAAAAAATTAAAATCAGGAGAAGAGCCTAAAAAAAATTAAAAACAGGACAAGAGCCTAAAAAAATTAAGATCAGGACAAGAGTCTAAAAAAATTAAAATCAGGACAAGTGCCTAAAAAAATAAAAATCAGGACAAGTGCCTAAAAAAATAAAAATCAGGACAAGTGCCTAAAAAAATAAAAATCAGGACAAGTGCCTAAAAAAATAAAAATCAGGACAAGAACCTAAGAGAAATAAAATTAAGAGAAGAGTCTAAAAAACCTAAAATCAGGAGAAGAGCCTAAGAAAAATAAAAATCAGGACAAGTGCCTAAAAAAATTAAAAACAGGAGATGAGCCTAAAACAATTAAAATCAGGAGAAGAGTCTAACAGAATTAAAATCAGGAGAGGACCCTAAAAAAATTAAAATCAGGAGAGGACCCTAAAAAATTTAAAATCAGGAGAGGACCCTAAAAAAATTAAAATCAGGAAAAGAGCCTAAAAAAATTAAAATCAGGAGAAGAGCCTAAGAGAAATAAAATCAGGAGAAGAGTCAAAGAGAATTAAAATCAGGAAAAGAGCCTAAGAAAATGAAAGCCAGGAAAAGAGCCTAAAATAAATCAAAAACAGGAGAAGAGTCTAAAAAACTAAAATAAGGAGAAGAGCCTAAAAGAAACAAAATCAGGAGAGGAGCCTAAAAAAACTAAAATCAGGAGAGGAGCCTAAAAAAGTTAAAATCAGGAGAAGAGCCTAAAAGAATTAAAATCAGGAGAAGAGCCTAAAAGAATTAAAATCAGGAGAAGAGACTAGGAGAAATAAAACAGAGAAAAGAGTAAGAGAATTAAAAGCAAGAGAACAGACTAAGAGCATTAAAATCAGGGGAATAGCCTAAGAGAATTAAAATCAGGAGAACAGACTAAGAGAAATAAAAGCAGGAGAACAGACTAAGAGAAATAAAAGCAGAAGAAGAGACTAAGAGAATTAAAATCAGGAAAAGAGACTAAGAGAAATAAAAGCAAGACAAAATTAGAGGGCATTTCTAAAGCTGCAGTGCATCCCTGCTTCTCATGCTGCCTCCCCGACTCACCTCCAATGCCCGGACGCTCCCAAAAGTTACCCGGATGGCACCTACCATCACTAAAGCTCAGTGCCTCATTGCTCATCCTTTTAAATCTTGGAGATTGCAGACGAGGACAGCTCAAGACGACCAATCTGGGTCAGTTGCCCCATTGTGAGGTGGTTCCGGCGGTCACGGGGTTACACTGACTCGATCATGAGAAAAAAAAACATAAGCAATATGTGAGTTGTGTGGCACGGAGCTCGAACCCCAGTGATCCCCCTACTGACCATCACCCAGGCCCTGACCGGAGTTGGACACTGTGGCTCTCACCTTCTGGGACACCTGAGTGACTGAGACACAAAATTAGAGGGCATCTCTAAAGCTGCAGTGGATCCCTGCTCCTCCTGCTGCCTCCCCAACTCACCTACAGGGCTCCTCTCTCTTCAGCTGCTCCCAAGACCGCCCCTGCAAATGAAATGGGCAAATGCTCAAACACTCAGCTCTCAAACATTTAGGGATTGCTCACAAGGAAAGCCAAAAACCTCTAAACCCTAGACACTCGTTCCTACTCTACCTAGTCAGGACTCTATACACCCAAGCAAGGCATCGCAAGACCATCCTGCTCACAGACTGGACAGCCATCGGCTCCACTGTCTAAGGGAACTGACATGTTGATGGGAGACTCTGAGCAATATTCCATCCACCCACTGATCCACGGAGCAGGGCAGAGCACTTCCAGGCTGACTCCAAGTGAGACACCCCAAACCTGTGACCACACACACCATGTGACACAATTAAGAGACGAAGGACACAAAACATGGACAAGACAAAGGACGTGACACACCCCAGAACTGCTCTGCCCGGCACACGTGAATCCAGTGATAAAAAGTAAGCCCTTCCTTTGATTCGTCCAAATAACCTGTCACAGGATACCCCTTGCACCGGACTCATCTCAAAAATCCCTCCAGGTAAGGCACAGACTTGCACCGACTCCCAAACCCTCTCTGGGGCTTTGCCCTGCACTTATCTTGCCGAAAGCCGGGGATGCGAAGCCATCTTGGATGCAGAGGAGGGGCACCTGGGCTGCCTCAGAGGTTCCCATCATCGTGAGACTACTCGGAGCCAACTGCGAGAAAGAAAACCATAAGCAATACGTGAGTTGTGTGGCATGGGGCTCAAACCCCAGTGATCCCCCTACTCACCAGCACCCAGGCCCTGACCGGAGTCGGACACTGTGGATGTCACGTTCCGGGATACCTGAGTGAGCGAGACACAAAATTCGAAGACATCTCTAAAGCTGCAGTGGATCCCCGCTCCTCCTGCTGCCTCCCCAACTCACCTACAAGGCTCCTCTCTCTTCAGCTGCTCCCAAGACCGCCCCTGCAAATGAAACAGGTAAATGCTCAAACACTCAGCTCTCAAACATTTAGGGATTGCTCACAAGCAAAGCCAAAAACCTCTAAACCCCATCAGACTGTAGGCCGAAGCATTGCTACACACTGTGAAGTGGACAGACGGCCACTGCAAGACAATCCAGACACGGAGGCTTGTGCTGACGTACTGCCTCATACTGGCTATCTCGAGCTCCTTTAGCTTGACCTCTGATCGGATGGACCTTCGACACATTTAGCAGACGGGAAAAGGGTTGTTTATCACCTAAAAAGAAAACTAAACAGTTACAACATATATGCATAGATTGACCACATAGATGACATCCTAAATCTAACCCCAAATTCGGTTGGGGAGTGAAATTCTCACCTCGCTCGTCTCCCTGCTGAGTCGCTACCCCTCGAGACCGCTTGGGCCCCATCTGGAAAATAAAGAAGAAAAAGGCACAAGGTAAAGGACTCCTACGGCTAAAACTGCCATCCTTCATCCAACACCTAATACAACCTTCTTCCTAGGCTGCTTCAACTTGTCTCGGCCTGGGGTACACTGTATCCACTTATCTGAAAAAAAAAAAAAGACCAAACAAAAAACAAAGGGTTAGTCAGGTCACCCACATGGTCAGTGAGACCTGAACCACTTCAAAGAACTCATTTCCACTCAGCAAGTGAGAACTCTGACTGCAGCATACAAGAATACAAATGACAACCCAGCTTCAAGGCCCTGCTATCCAAGTACCATCAGCTCCACAACACTCAGCTATAATGATTGCACACGAGTTATGTACCCCTGCTCCATCCGGCAGGACCGTACAGCCATCGGCTCGACTGCCCAAGGGAACTGACACGGTGATGTGAAACTGCGCAATATTCTATCTACCCACTGATCCACGGAGCAGGGCAGAGCAGTTCCAGGCTGACCCCAAGTGACACACCCCACACCTGTGACCACACACACCACGTGACACAATTAAGAGACAAAGGACACAAAACATGGACAAGACAAAGGACGTGACACACACCAGAACTGCTCTGCCCTGCACACGGGGATCCAATGATACAAAGTAAGCCCTTCCTTTGATTCGTCCAAATAACCTGTTACAGGATACACATTGCACTGGACTAATTTCAAAAATCCCTCCAGGCGAGGCACAGACTTGCACCCACTCCCAAAACCTCTCTGGTTCTTTGCCCTGCACTTATCTTTCCGAGAGCTGGGGATGTGAATCCATCTTGGATGCACAGGAGGGGCACCTGGGCTGGCTCAGAGGTTCCTGCCATCCTCAGACTACTCGGAGTCAACTGCGAGAAAGAAAACCAGACACCATATCTGAGTACTGTGGCACATGGCCCCAGCCCCCAGGATCCCTCTACTCACTCTCACCGAGGCAGGTCCTCACGTCACTGGCTCTGACCAGACTTGAACACTGTGGTTGTCATCTCCTGGGATACATGAGCGAGCGAGAGACACAATTAGAGGGCATTTCTGAAGCTGCAGTGGAACCCCGCTCCTCCTGCTGCCTCCCCAACTCACCTACAAGGCTCATCTGCTCCCAGAGGTTACCTGGATGGCACCTGCTATCAAAAAAGCTCAATCCTTCATTGCTGATCCTTTCAATACTCAGAGATTACCTACAAGGGCAGCTCCACAGGACCAAACTGTGTCCGTCACCTCATTATGAGTTGGCTTCGGCCCTGTGAGGCTGTGTACATCTCCTGCAAAAAAACCCAGAGGCAAGTGTGAGTACTGAGATACTGCCCAAGACTTTGCTGCTCCCATGGCAGCTTCTGTCTGACACCCCTTGACCGTGACCTCTTACAGGCAGGGTCCCCGTCACGTTGGACTGCACGTCAGAAGTCGGTGCTCTGCCTGTAAAACAAAAAACACAAGTATGTACACAGATTCACCACAAATACACCGCCTGCAAAAGAGCAGCTAGTTTTGTCCTGCAGTCACTGCTCACCTTCCTCACCGGGATCACCTTCCCTCTGGTGCCTATCGTCTGCTGGGCCGAGGGCTCTGCATCCTAAAAAAAAACAAAAAACCAAAAACAACCATTCAAATGATCAAGTAAACCTAGGGCCAAAAGCCATGTGTTGGCTCTGACCTCACATGAGAACCCACCTTCTGACTGTGCTCCTCCAGCCTCTTCTGTTCTTCTCTGCTTTACATCCAGTCCCTCTGACGCTGCAAAGAAATGAGTTAGCAAAGTCAGTCACATAGACAGGGAGACCTTAACTGCTGCCCAATTGTCACTTCTCTTTAGACAAGCCCTCTGGGGTCCAAAGACAGCCTGCACAAACAAACACTGACCTAACACTAAGTACCCCCCTTTCTACTCCACCTACCCCCAACTCTACACTGCAGGGCAGAGCAGTTCCAGGCCCAACACAAACTCCAAGCACACATTTCCAGACAAGTGCTGAGGTGCAACCAGGAGAGAGAACTCAGAGAGAGGAACGACGCCAAAACGGATGTGCTGCCGCACGAGAAGACGGAGGATACGGTGAGACTGAACGGAGGAGGCTCTGAGGAGCCTGAAAAGACACTCTCACAGAATGGCCTGGGACAAGAACTGCCTACAAAATTGCTGAGATGGATGGGAGACAAGGCTATGCTCAGAATCTTCTTAGATTCTCACAAGTCCCAGGTGGGATGACAAGGGATGACTGCACGGCACAGCCACCGATACAACCTGTGAGGAGGCTGTAAAAGACACCTGACCTGACACTTCTCAGATGCAATTCTGATGCACGTCCAAGCTAGTGAGCCAAAGAACGGATGGTATGGGCACTGGGCTGGGCAGTGCAGAGGTTCAAGACTCTAGGAATGATGCCTTGGCATCTCAGATAAGAACTTTGAGGGCAGAAAGCAAAGACACAGTGACTGTGAATAGTAAGACACGAAACACAGACCGGACAAAGGACATGACACAGACCTGAACTGCTCTGCCCTGCACATCCTACTCCATGATGAAAAGTAAACTGCTCCTCCTATGTGTGCCAAGGGCCTGTTAGGGCAGACCCTTTCCCCTCTGCTCATTTGAAAATCCCTCCCTCCTAACCATAAAACTGGACCCAGCTCTCATCCCCTCTCCAGGTGGGAGTCCTCCACTTATCTTTCCCACAGCTGGGGATGTGAATCCATCTTCGATGTGAAGGAAGGACGCCCGGCTGGCTCAGAGGGTCCTGTGATCCCTGACTCGGTCGCTGGGAGAAAGAAAACAGAAACTGAGACAAGAGTTGGGCAGCACGTGGGAGATAACCCTGCAATTGGCTACTCACCCTCCCCTGAGCTCAGAGGTTCTCGGGCCACTGGCTCCAATCCCAGTCAGAGGCTGCTGCCTTCACCATCTGCTGTACCTGGGTGAGTGAGAAAAAAAGTTATGGGGTGTTTCTGAAAGTAAGGGAGACCCCAGCACCTCCTCCCTACCTCCCTGACTCAACCTCAATGCTCCTCCATTGCCAAAGGCAGGTTGGATGGCACCTGCAGCTGGAAAAGGTCCAGCCTTAATTGATGACCCTCGCAGTACTAGGAGATTACTCACAAGGACAGCTGAAGACCATCAAACCTAACTGGCAGGTGGCTCTGGCCCTCTGAGGCTGCACACATTCTCTGCAAAGTAAAAAGCCAAAGGCAAATGTACAGACTGAGGTACTGCCTGAAAGGATGGCTTTCCTGGGGTACCTCCTACCTACCTCTCCTCCACAGTGACCTCTTACCAGCAGGGGCCCTGAAGCACTGGACTGTCTGTGAGAAGGCTGCAGAACCCCTGCAAAACACAAGAAACAAAGCATGTGCACAGATTCACCACAACACCTGTAAGAGAACATCTAGTCCTGTCCCAGAGTCAATGCTCACCTTGCTCACCGGGACTCACCTGGATCACCTCCCCTCCGGTGCCAAGAGCCTCCTGGGGCCAGGGCTCTGCAGCTGAAAACAAAGAAAAAACAAACCAAAACAACAACATCCTTAACACATCAAATAAATGTGGAGCTAAAAGCCACATCTTTGTGCTGATGTCAGGTGACCACCCACCTTTTTGCTCTGCTCCTCTGGCCTCTGTTCTGTTCAACTCTGCTTTACACCCTGTCCCTCTGACATGGTAAAGAAACCCTAACCAAAGTCACCCAGATGGATGGGGAGAGCTCAAAGAGTCTCCCTTCTCTTTAGGCAAACCACCCAGGGTCACTGCCTGCAGCCAAAGACTGCAGCTGTAATTGCACAGAATATCTGGGTGAAGGAGAGGAAAACTTAAGTGGCACATCTGAAAAGTCAGTGGATGCCTTCACAGGCATTTAGGGGGCTCCTGGACACTGCTTTCCACCCATACTACCTTCAAAACACCCCTGGTAATTCCTAAGTTGGCACCCCAGCCCTCACTCCAGTTCTGGGCTGTAACCCCCCACCGAATACTTGCAAACCTGGGTGTCTGTAGCCATCTTCAACACAGAGCAGCTTCACCTGAGGACTGGATAACACTTGTGGAAAAAAGCCAAGCTGCAGTTGAGATGATCAGCAGATCCCAAAAGATGCAAGGCTCCTAAGGAAAAGAAAAAAGATAACCAATTATAAAAGCAGCTTACCAACACCAAGTTATTAAATTTAAAAACCCTGCATGTGAGTGTAATCCTCTTCATTGCGGTATACAGCTCTGCTTCTTTGGATGCCAAAGCTGATGCTTCAATAAAGCAGGAATAGCTTGAGAAGTCCCATCCAATGAAAGAAAGGGAGAGCTCTTATCCCATTGAAGCCTGGCTGCTGGATGAGCTCACTTGCACATGATTGCACCTGAGTTATATATACCTGCTCCATCCGGCAGGACCGTACAGCCATCGGCTCGACTGTCTGAGGGAACTGACAGGGTGATGGGAGACTGAGCAATATTCTGTCTACCCACTGATCCACGGAGCAGGGCAGAGCAGTTCCAGGCTGACCCCAAGTGACACACCCCACACCTGTGACCACACACACCATGTGACACAATTAAGAGACGAAGGACACAACACATGGACAAGACAAAGGACGTGACACACACCAGAACTGCTCTGCCCTGCACACATGAATCCAACGATACCAAGTAAGCCCTTCCTCTGATGTATCCAAATAACCTGTTCCAGGATACTCCTTGCACCGGACTCATTTCAAAAATCCCTCCAGGCGAGGCACAGACTTGCACCCACTCCCAACCCCTCTCTGGGGCTTAGCCCTGCACTTATCTTTCCGAGAGCTGGGGATGTGAATCCATCTTGGATGCACAGGAGGGGCACCTGGGCTGGCTCAGAGGTTCCTGCCATCCTCAGACTACTCGGAGTCAACTGCAAGAAAGAAATACAGACACCATATCTGAATAGTGTGGCACGTGGCCCCAGCCCCCATGATCCCTCTACTCACTCTCACCGAGGCAGGTCCTTGGGTTGCTGCCTCTGACCAGACTTGGACACTGTGGCTGTCATCTCCTGGGATACATGAGTGAGCGAGAGACACAATTAGAGGGCATTTCTAAAGCTGCAGTGGATCCCCGCTCCTCCTGCTGCCTCCCC